TCTGGCTCTGCTCTAGCTCTGGCGGCTGCTTTGGCTCTGGCTCTGGCAGCGCCATAGCCGCAGGCCCAATGGCCGTTTTATTAGCAGTGGCCGATTTATCAAAGCCAATTGCCGTTTTATCAAGGCCAATGGCCGTTTTATCAAGGTTTCCGAAATTGTCCTTCAAACCAATATCACCAATTGCCGATTTATCAACAGCTTATCAAGGTTTTCGGCGAGGTCCGCAGGAACGGGAGGTTTGGGGTTATCTTTGTAGAGATGAAATGCGGCTTTCCCAGTGCCGCGCGTGCTTGCAAGCACGGAGCCTTCAACAGCGGCTGCAGCCATCTGTCTCCGGCTCGCTCGCACTGCCGTCGCTGCGCTGCGGTCGACCCTATACAGCGGCGGGTCGACCTTCAGTTTAGGGTTTAGGGTTTAGGGTTTAGGGTTTAGGGTTTAGGGTTTAGGGTTTCACCTCGGAAGCGGCGCGCCTCGACCCAAAGGGTCGCGGGGCGGCGCGCCGAGGCGGCAGCTTCTACCCACCCCAATACCACCCAAACTAAACTCTTTTAGGGTTTAGGGTTTCAATTGGAAGCCCGGCGGGCAAGTGTTAAGGAAGCGCTCAATCGCGACAAAAAAGAACAACTTCGCAGTGGACCGACGCTGCGCTCAAGGGGCGCTGCCAGAGCGAAGGGCAAGCGCCTGCGCGAGGACAAGTTTGCTTTTGCCTGCTACAACGTCTAAGGCGGCGCGCGCGCGGCGCGACAAGGGACAAACGGGCACTGGCTCTGATAAGATATGGCTAAAATTGCTTGCCCGCCGCTGATAATTTGCTCACACGGGATTTTGCCATTGGGCTTGCCTACGCATCAAGGCCGCCAGCCTCAATGGCCGTTTTATCAACAATGGCCGCTTTATCAAGGCTGAGGACCAGACCAGTGGCCGCAATGGCCGTTTTATCAACCAAAAGCGGCCAAATGGCCAGATCTCTTACATTTGGGTTGCGGCTTGCCGATTTCATACTGTCCCGTGTAAGGAGTTTATCAGCGGCCAGGCCGAGCTATTTTTAGCAAGGGCTGGCAAAGCGAATGGCCGCTTATCAAGGCCGGCTAGCCGCAATGGCCGTTTTATCAAAGCCGATGGCCGTTTTATCAAGGCCGGCAATGCGCAGTTGCAGTTTTATCAACAATGGCAAACTTATCAAGGCCAAGCTAAAGGAGGACTCATACGCTCAGCCCCTCTTAGACTAGAGGGTTTAGGCTCCCTGCGCGCGCCCGTAATAAATGTTTATAAGGAGCCTTATAAGGAAGTCAAGGAGCCTTTATAAGGACGCCCGCGAGGAGGCTGTATAGGCGGAGCCCTCGCCCTTAAGGAAGCTTTATAAGGAGGCTTATAAGCAGCCCTTATGAGGACCCTCACAGGGAGCCTTTGTAAGGATGCTCCTTTTCCAAAAGAAAACTTCCGGTATCTGTTAGGGTCCGGGACCTTAGGTTTTAGGGTACTATAATATAGGAGCTACCGCTCCATATTTTAGTGCTGTCAGCACAGGTCACCTCTTATGATCGCATCAAGAGCGAGGACGGAGCAGGAAGCTAACTCTTCCTGCAGGCTCGCCTTGTCAGGAGTCAGGGCAGCTAGACGCAGCCGGGTCGCTAAGCGCGCCCTGCGCTCGCGATGCTACGACGCTCTAGGCGAGCGGGACAACATCGCGAGCTTTAGTTTAGGGTTTAGGGTTTAGGGTTTAGGGTTTAGGGTTTAGGGTTTAGGGTTTAGGGTTTAGGGTTTAGGGTTTAGGGTTTAGGGTTTAGGGTTCAAAGATTTCGAGACGTAGATTTTTTCAAAGCAAGGCTCATCAAAAGTTTCGATATCAATCCCACCCACCCAGGACCCGCTTCCAAGCGCCAGCTTCCACTCGCGGCCAGCGCAACTCAACAAACTCGGCGCAAAAAAAAAGAGCGGCGGGCGCCCCGCGGCAAAGTTACGTAAGACAGGAGCAACAGCAAGCGGCGACCGACAAAGCAGCTTACAAGCCGCGTTCAAGGGCGAGCGGCGAACAAGAAGAAGCAGCTTCTTGGCCCGAAGACAGCCAGGAAGCAGAGGTTTTATAGAGAAAGTTCGTGAGGAAACAGCGCGAGCAAAGCGCTTCAGAAGCAACTCCTACGGCTCGCCTGCTTCTAGTTTGCTACTCGTGGCTTGGCGCCTGAAGAAAAACGGCGCTGCGCCGCAGCAAGGGCGCTTCAATCGCGCGAGTGCGTCAGAACCATGTCTTCGCCCGGAAGTGGAAACCACGGCAGGGGCACGAAAATCGACGCCCGGCAGCCCGAAACCACAGCGGGGCCACGCGCAACGGGACCACCCGCTTCAGAGACGGACGCAAGACCACTAGGCCACCAGCCCCGCGGCGGGGCCCCGCCACGCCCGCGGCCCACGCGCGGGCAAGAGCCCCCGACCTAGAAAGCGCGCAAGTTTAGCGCGTGCAAATTTTGGCCCGAACTTGGATTTGAGCAGCGAAGCAGATTCAGAAGCTCGCAAGACACATGCAGAACTTAAAAACAAGCTTCAAGAAGCCCCAGTGTTAGGCGCAGCCGTACGACCGTTTTGGCTTTAACTTTTAAATTAATATTAAAGTAATTAGAAGTTAGGTTTAGGGTTTAGGGTTTAGGGTTTAGGGTTTAGGGTTTAGGGTTTAGGGTTTAGGGTTTAGGGTTTAGGGTTTAGGGGTTTAGGGGTTTTGGGGTTTAGGGTTTAGGGTTTAGGGTTTAGGGTTTAGGGTTTAGGGTTTAGGGTTTAGGGTTTAGGGTTTAGGGTTTAGGGTTTAGGGTTTAGGGTTTAGGGTTTAGGGTTTAGGGTTTAGGGCTTAGGGTCCGCCAACACAGTGTGGTGGCGCCCTAGGCAAATGTCGAGAGCGAGTAGCGGAGACCTCAAAGCTTCGAAAGTTTTTCTATATAGGGGAATCCCTGCACTGTAATCCGAAAAGGTCGAGCTAAATCACCCCTAAACTTGAGTGAGTAAGCACGTCGAGTGAGAGACCGAGCACGACGTTCTAAACAGGTCGAACGCAGTTCGACAAAACGTTCTGAGCGTGAGCGAAAAGACATAACTCGACTAAGACGCTCGACCAAACGAGCAAGAGTTATGAACCACTTCAAGCTTGATCTAGGCAAGATTGAAATTGAACTCGATCAGATCAACCAAGTTGAACAACTCGAGCGTTTAAAAGGGAGATCGAACAAGATCATGCTCGCCTAACGAACGCGAAAGACAAGCTCGAACATCAAAAAAATGAGCTCGATCGACTTCGCGATAATTTAGATTAACATTTTAGCTTCAGATAAACCAACCTGAGCGAATGTAGACCGAACAAAACATGCTCGGAGCGCGGATATGAAAAGGCTAAGAGAAACGACCAAAATAGTCATTTTCGTTGACCAAAGGACTCGACGCGACTTAGCGAGGCCTTTAAACGCAAGCAAAACATGGCTCAAGCTGGATTGAGATAATTGCTCAGGCAAAGGCTTATGCAAACGCGTAGCCGAAAATCAGCAAAATTCCGAGACGTAGTCACTCTCGACAACTCAAACCGAGACCTGAGCTCACAATGTTAGGTTCGAATAACGTGCCCAGTTAGTTCTAGAAGCTTCACGGAAATGGGGAAGACCTAAGCCCCAGAACTATCGAACATCACGCGACTCGCGCCTCGCGCCAGGCAACTCGGAGCACTCCGCGCTCTTGCGCCGCGGCGGCCTCGCGCGCGCGTCTCCGACTAGACCTGAGTCCCGCGACTGCAAGACAACAAACACGCGAGCGAAGCGTGAATCATGTCCCCCGCCTCGGCAACGCGGACTGCTCTAAAGGCCTCGGCCCGTCAGGACAAGAGCGTCATCGCAACGCTAGCGCGCTCCCCGCGCCTTGGCGACATCTCGAAAACATAGCGCGGGCCCACCGCGGCCCCACGCATTTTGAAGCTGATGAGCTAGCAGGTCAAAGAGCCGCGCAATGCTGGGAATGTCGCATTCAAATTGCTGCGCCGCGCGCCAACAAGGCAAGACCCAATCGCGCATTTGCTTTTTGCCGCCTTCATTTAAAATCGCTCCCCAAGATCTACCCTAGCGGCAATTCGGGCAGAATCGTTTGCGGATCTGTTCTTCCGCCGAATTCTCGCTCCATTTCCTCTTGCATCTGAGACAAGTTCGTTCGCCCCGTTTGCGATCTGCCGCGCAGTTGGGGCAGCGTTGGTTGATGTAGACGGCAGAAGACGTGGGCAGAAAAGCCGCGCAGCCTCGGCACTTCTCCCATCCGGCCCGGAGCCGACGAGCCTTGCCGCGCACCGCGTCCTGGCAACTTTGACACGCGGCCGCCCACGGCAGCGTCAACGCAGATAGGTGGAACTCCTTCAGCGGCTTCACCTCTGCGCATTGCGAGCAAGTCAACTCCGAGACGTTCTTCAAACACGCGATGCAATTTCGCCTTTCTTCTGCACGAGGCTGCCGAAGTTGAGCTCGGGGAAACGCGTGCTCCACTTTCTCGAAGCCGCAGCCAATGCAGCGCAGCCGCTCAACATTGGAAGGCATTTTGCGCTTGCAGGCGCCTCCATCCTTATGAATGCAAGTCAGACAAGTGGCAGGCAGGTTGGCTCTGGCTTTGTCCCACTGGGCGTCCGCGAAGTAGTCGACAGGCTTAACCACTTTGCATTGTTGGCACGGCGCGCTGGGCGCGCGGGCCTCGCGGTAGTTGACCCAATCAATCTTTTCACCTCGGAGAGTCTTCAGCAGCAACTCTGGCCCCTCTGGCGCACCCCGCTGGAAGAGCCAGAGCGGGACCGGCCGCAAAATGAGGATATCTTCACGGCTCCTGCGAGCAACAGACGCGACGAATCTGAGTCGACCGCCGAGCGCGCAAAAGTTTTTACTCCGCTCCCTAAAAAAAAAAAAAAAGGCCTCACGCGGCTGCCGGCCACGGTTCCGAAGGTGATGTCCGTCCACCTGTCCCCGTTGAAGTCGGCCATGGCCGCCGGCAAGGTCTTACCCTGACTCCCGTGGGCAGTGATGGCGTAGGCCGGCACTAGCGGGATCTGAGTTCGGGAGATCGCCGTCCAGGAACCAGACCTTGGTTTGCCGCGTGACCGGATAGAGGCCCGGCTCGGGCGCGCCTTCGAGCTGCCACTCCGCGCCTTGAAACTTCACGTAGACGTGGGTAGGCTGCCGCGCGCCAGGAGGCCAGCGCCAGGAATGCACGAACCCCGTCGCGCCGCGTAGAAGGAGCTTGTCTTCAGACCTGTCCAAGTGCTCTGTCAGCGCCACCTTCATGCCCACGGCAAGCGGTAGCATTCCACACAGGTTTCCAGTGTCCCTGTCATGGTATTGCAGCCAACGGACCCTCGCCGCCTTGTCGCAGGCCTGAGCGCCGGGCGCAATACTTCCTCGAAACTGGATTAAAGTTCTACACAAGCACGTTTATTTTAAAAAGTTTTTTTTGCCTTCTTCCTGCCTGAGTCTGCAAGAGCGCCAAGCCCGGCCTGTCAGCGGCGGCGGCCCACCGCAGCGGCGCGCCCGACTCCTTCGAATAGCGCAGCGCGCGGTCTTTGTTGATCTGAAACTTGGCGTCGTTGTTCGCGACGATGACTGGCGCCTGCTTGAACTTGGCTTCCTGGAGCCGCGGGTCGCTGTGGCCCGCGACGACTCGTCGTCGAGACGCCCGTTCTTCGTCGGACAGGGCGCAGCCTTCCACCGGGAGCCCATGGAGATATTTCCAGTTGCGCTCCGAGAGGTGCCCGGCTCGTAGCTCGTCCACAACTGCATTCCACCAGCCGTCCTTGCATCTCTCCCGCTCCTCCAACTCGGTGACGCCTTGGACGGCGCCGCCCCAGAACAGCTCCCTGCCATAGTCCGCCAAGGGGTCCGGGGCCGTCAAGTCGTCGGGCGCTCGCGGGCGCCGATTGTAGGGGACGTCGCCCAAGTACGCCCCGCTAGGCGGAGGCAGTTGATAGAAATCCCCGGTGAAGAGCACGTTGATGCCCGCGAAGGGTCGGGAGGAGTTGGCGGAGGGGTCGAGCTTCCAGGCGGCCGCGTCTGGCACCGCGCTGCGCAGGCGCTGATCCACTTGCGCCAGGAGCCGGGCGTTCACCATGCTGACTTCGTCGATGATGAGCCAGCGCCAGAGCCCCATCCGCTTGGCCACCTCCTTGCTGACGGCGCGGTCGACGGCCTTCCAGTCGGCGCTCAAACCACAGACGTTGTGGATCGTCTTGCCCTTGATGTCCGCGGCGTTCACAGCCTGGAAGGCGGCGACCTCGTAGTCGATGCCTTGGACGTAGCCGAGCTGCTCTTCGAAGAGTTCCCTCAAGTACTTCAGGACGTGAGACTTTCCCGCGCCCGGAGGCCCGTGTAATAGCCACACCAAGGGCTCGCCGCTTTGGCGACTCGACTCTTCCGGCGCGAGCAGGCCACACTCGATCAGAACCCGCTCCACGACTAGCGCCAAGATTTCTTGCTGCTTGGCGTTTAGGTTGGGCCGCTTGGCTTCCAGCCACCCGAGCAGGCCGGCCTTTGTCACGAGCGGGCGGACCGCGCTCACTCCGGGGCCCTCCTTTGCATTGGCGCCTCCTTTGCTGGCTTTCTCGCGGGAGGCCTTGGCCGCCTCCTCGAGCTCGTCGTGGTCTTCCACGGCCTGCTTGGCCGCCATATCGGCATAGTGTTGGGCGAAGCTTGGGTCGCCCTCGCCGGACGCGGCCGCCCCGCCCCAGACTTCCTTGGACAGCTGGAACATCTGCTCCGTGCGGGCGATCCGCTGCGCCTTGGCGGTCGCGTCTGGCGTCTCTGCCTCGGCGTCTTCTTCCTCTCCTCCCCCAGCTTCGCCCGGCTGCGCGGCGCCTTTGATGCGCGTGGCCTGCGCCGCCAGGAGGTCTTCCTCCTCCAGCTCCATCGGCTCGTCTTCGAACTCGTTGTCGCTGTTTTCCTGCGGCGCGCGCCCTCTTGCTTTTATTTTTTAGACGCTGAAACATTTGACTCATCCAACATCCAGTGCGACGCTCGACCCGAACATTCGACGAGCCACGCCTCCAGCTTGTCGCTCGGCTGAAGTTCTCGCGGCAGGCCGTAGACGAAGCAGAAGTTTTGAGCAAACTGCTTGACCTCCTCGGTCGGGAACCCGTCTCGCAGCAGGCGGAATCGCAGCGCGTGTCTCCAGGTCTTGACGCCCGGGGCCTTGAAGCTGCTCAAATAGGGCACGCGAGAGGTAGCTTCTGAAGGATCGTTTGTCCATGGAAAGAACAGCAGGAGCACCTTCTTGGCCATGGAAAGAACAGCAGGAGCACCTTCTTGGCAGTATCCTCGTCGCAGCGGCTGCCTAAGGCGCCTTGAACCACAGGGATGTTGGGCCGGCGCCGTAGGACTGCTACCCAATCGTGCCTGCGGGGCAAACGCGGTCGCTTTGTTTCGAGATCGATGAACTAAAAAATCTTAAGTTGTCCGCGCCTGAAGGTTTGCCCCAGAGCGCCGTCGCTCAGCGCGACCCAGTCTTCGCCGCCGAGATCCTTGACGCGATAGTGCGTCCCGGGCAGTAGCGCGGCGCGGCGGAGACGCGCCAATATCTTCAAGTAAGCGTGGAACTCGGCTCCGCAATTGCGCCCCTCGTCGCCCTCCTCCTCTTCCTCTTCGCCTTCGCAGCCTAAGTCCGCGACCTTGCGAGGATGTCTGGCTACGGCGCACTGGAAGTGGCGAGCAAATTCGAAGGCAGATAATTCGAAGACTCGAGGATCTTTTCCGCGCGATCCGTAGAAGGTCCAAAAGGCCGGCCTGGAGACAGTCTGACGCAGCCCAAAGTCGCGCTTATCCGGCTGCTGGCGCCGCGGCTCCACGGGCCACGGCTCACCGGTTTCCGCGGCTTCCATCAGCCGCAATCCAAACGACAGCGAAATATCCGTCACGGGGGCCGTCTTAATCGTTTCCGCAGAGGTCGGGTCGTTCTTGCCAGAGTTGACGATCAGGTTGCAGCATTCCACGGCGCCGCGGCAGACCCCCCTGCAGGGACCGAACCGAGGGAGCGGTCGATTTTACGAAAGAACCAGCCAAGACGACGCGCGCAAACTAGCGTGCCTGGAGTAAATATCCGTGATTAGCCTCTTGTTGCTTCGAGCCGCGAGGTAGCCGACCGGCTTGTCTTCCAGATCCGCCGCTAAGTCCCGCTGCCCCCGCTGCCACTCTTGGATCTCGGCCCGGGCGATCGCCAGTCGCTTGTTCATGTAGTCGCAGGCATATCCAGCTTGCGCCGCCTGCGCGATAAGGATTTGTTCTAAATTGACTCAGGCGTTTTCTTTTTCAACTTTTTCGACTCTATCAACGACTCAACGATAAGAGCGACACTCGCTCGGTCCTGCGTCAGCTGCGCCTCTCTGATCAGCAAGCGAATGGCTTGCCTGCCCGCGCAGTTCTCCTCGCAAAGCGAGTCGCTGTGCGTCTCGGTAGTGATCGGGAAACGGTAGGGTAGCTGCAGGTCTCCGTTGCATCTCAGCGCCGCGAGGAACGCGGGGTGGTTCCCGTTGAGGTTCGGCTCGTTGACCGGGCCCCAGCAGACCCCGAGCAAGCTCCGCTTGCCTTTGACAGGTAGCTCAAAGTTCTGGCCGAGACCGGGGCACACCAAGACTGTCCCATCCACTAGAGCCTTGTCTCTGGGGAAGCCGCTCTTGCATTTGGACAGGTCCCGGGCGTCCTGGCAGTGGGCCAAGGGCTGTCGCTGCCCGTCTGGGCCGGGCAGGTGGACGTGATGCTGCTTGCGCTGCTGTAGCTCCTCTACATCCACCTCCAGGAAACGGGCTTTCCAGTCGGCCGGGCTCATCGAAGCGTCGGTCTGATACGCCGGCCGGCTCAGCATCAAACTGCTATCTTTATATTCCGGCCAATCGGCTTCCACGGTCTCGCGCAGCCCTTCTTGCCATAGGTCAGGTCGACAATAGACGCTGCGCCTGTAGCGGAAGGGAACTAGACAAGACCCGCGCGCCCCTCCCCTCCCGAGCGACGACGAACCCGGCCTCACATGGGCAGAGTAGCTCGCGTACTTCTGGAACAGTCGTCTCACGCCGCCCTCTTCTTCCAGCTTCATCAGTTGCGACAGGGGCGTATGTTGGTGGAAGCACTGCACAAAGACTTGGAAGTGGCCATGTAGGGAGCCGGCCTTTTGACACTCGATCGAGCCGTACACGGCGTCGACCCGACCCAGCACGCCGCCCGTCGCCGTAGCGTTGCTGCCAAACGCGTCAGCGCAGGGCGAGTCGGAAGCCGCGCAGTCTGGACAGCGCGGGCAGAACCGGACTCCAAGGAGGTGCCGCAGCGCCAGAAGCACCAGAACTCTGAAGCCTTCTGCGCAGGCCAGTGGATCTCGGGCCAGGAGCGTCTTGCGTTCGTCGTAGTCGGGAAGCTCCTCCAAGAGCGCCTCGGGCGAGAGTCTACAGAACTCCTCGTCTAGCTTGGGCGAGCTCCGAGATTGGAAGCTTCTGTCTCTGTCGCTTTGCAAGGAGGGGTCGCTTTGCCGTACCCGGGCCAGGCGGAGCATCAGCGCGGTGTCGCGCTCCGAGGGGGAGAACGTTAGGAAGACGGAGAGCCCGTAACAGACGCGGTTGGCATGTGTTTGCAAACGCATAGTAGTCCGCACCTCTTGGGTGCCAGGGATCCTCCGCGTCCTGGCCTCCAAGTTGTCGAGCACTTTCACTGCTTCGCGCGAGAGACTGGGCACGCAGTAGCGCGTTTTGGCCAAGTCGCCCTTGACGGCCTTCAGCTCGCCGGAGACGTCCGCGTATTTGCTGTCCAGCGCCCGCAGCAGGTCACTCGCGCCTTTGAGGACTTCCTTGCCAGTCATCGGTCGGCGCCTTTCAGGATTTGACTCGTCTGGGATCGAGTACATGTAGACGTTTTTCTGTAGGTTGACTGCTGTTCGGAAGATGTAGTTCCATATGGAGTAGCCGAAGTTCCAGTCCCGGCGAAACTGGGACTCCACACGGCGCTGCATAGCCGCGGCCCACGCGTAGATATCGACCTACGCCGACAGCTCTCTAAAGGGTCGAACCGAATTCAAAGAACGCACGAAGCGAAACGTAGAATCAAGACCCCGCCTGCGGAGCCCCAGGCGCCCGTCGACTGTCGCGAGCCTCCCCCTTCACCTCATTCTTCACGTCGGGGCGGGCTGTCCCGAACTTCAAGCAGAAGCAGAACGCCACCGCGAAATAAAGAGGCTGAAATTGGTCCACCAACTGGTTGCCCGTTCTCACCTCCAAGGACCGCAGCGCTTTCTCTGCGTCCGAAGTCAGCTCGTCTTGTAGCCGCCGCATCGCGGCGATCTGCGTCTGGTTGAGATCCAGCGCTTGCTCGCCTTCTGCCACGACCCCCCGCGGCCGCTGGGCGGCGAAGATTCTTCCCGCCTCAACCGCGTCACTGCGGCCATCCACTGGGGTCGCCGCCTTCTGCGGCAGCAGCTTGTCGTTGATCTTCTCCGAGCCATCCAGCAGAGTGACCACGCGTAAGACTTCTGGCGGCACCCCGTCCTCGGGCAAGGCCGCCGCCCGGGCCCGGACGGCGTCCTCATCGGCTCCAATGAAAGACGGGTGGCCCAGGCGCTTCATGTCCAGGATGAGGTTGACCGCTACCTCTCTTCTGACGTTGGCCTGGTGGATCAAGGTCTTAATTTCCGCCTCTGAGGTTTGGCCGTGTTGGTTGGTCTTCAAGAGCACGCGGACCACCTCACTCAGCTGCACTCCAGCTCGCGGCAATGCCGCCGCCTCTTCTCCCACGCTCTGGAGCTCGCGCATCAAGTCTTCCCAAGGCAGTGGAAAAGTGAGCGGATTGCCGCGGAAGCCGTAGCGGTGTCTGGCCATGTGGGCCGTCTCGTCGAAGGGCGCCGAGGCGTGCCTGTGACGAGCCTCCATGGACATGCAGACCATGGTGGTCGCACACGGAGAGGCGCAGATCAGCTCCAGCACGGTCATCTTTTCTTCGAAGATTCTCTCAGGGGAGTAGCCGACCCACATATCATTGGCAAGGCTCACAGGCGGCATCTTCTTCTTCTTGAGGCTCTCGAAGCAGGCCCGACACACCGGCGTCTCGCACTCCTCGCACAGGACGCCCGCGGCGCCGACGTGGGTCGGATCCGCGCCGCAGCGGCGGTCTTCCGGGCAGCATAGGATTTCTGCGCCGCCGGGGCCGGGCAACTTCAACTTCCAGTTCTCAAAGCTTTCATTGGTCGACATCCTCGCAGCTCTTTCTGAGTGTAGCTTGTCGTACTTGTCGAGAAAGGCGTTCAGGCCGAGGATCTCGACCACGCGAGGCACTGGCTGGCCGAAGAGCCGCCACTCGCCCTCCTCCTCCCCGCCGCAGCGGCTTAGAATCCGGCGCCATTGAATTTCATTCTGCTCCTCAAACTCGGCCACGCGGCTGTAGATGCAGGCGCAGGACGCGCAGATCAGCGCCTCGACCTTGTCCCCTTCCACGGCCGCGGCAAAGGACCGCAAGGCCGTCCTGTCTAAAGAACAGCCTGCCAGGGGCGCGCCTTGCCGGCAGCGCCGGGCGAGGGCCTCGTTGTAAATCGACATCAGCTGGCTCGGATCCCCAGGTCGCAGGAGCAGCCGCGCGCCCGCCATAAGGTCGCAGCTGTGGGCTTCCGCGAGGTGAAGTTGGAGGTCCGCCTCGGTGCCTTCGGCGACCGCCCAGTCGCAGTCCACGAACGCGCAGAAAGCGCGGGGCCAGACCGCCCCGGCATCTAGTTCGACGGCCGAGGCGCGGCCGGGGGGGAGGGTCGGGTCTGCTCTGATCTTGGTCTCCGCGATCAGCTTGACGATCTCCTCCAAATGCCGCAGCGGGTGAGCAGCTTGCTCCGCCGGGGCCACTTTGGCTTTGACCACTTCTTCCATCACGTCCTCGCGCAACTCCGGCGGCGGGGTCGTTTTCTGGCGATACCTCCGCCGTCTGAGAGCGCCAGCTTCCTCTGCCTCTTCTGTCTCGTCTGCCTCTTCGCCGTCTTCCTCTGTCAGCTCTCCCGCTTCGCTAGAATCTGCTTCCCCGTCTTCTTCTTGAGCTCCTTCGGGTTTAGTCAAGCACGCTTCCCTCGCTCACATGTGAATACTACAACGCAAACTGGTCTAAATTGAGACAGCCCCCGTCCTGCCACATCAATCACGCGCTCCCGCAAGGAGTCGCCAGTCTCGACGCCGAACAGCGAGTCCCCTATGAGGTTCTGCTCTTGGATCTCTCGAGGCGACGGGCCGCTTGCAGCGACAGGCCGCGCCGCGGTCGTCTCTTTGAAGTACCTCGGGCGCCCGGTCTGCGGCCACGCGATGTTGCGAGCGCGAGAGGCAAACCCGCCACTAGGACTGCCGTAAATGTCTGGCTATGAACGTGTGTGCCACCTACGACCTCACCCACTGTCACCCGGATGAGGCGGTTGTCCTTTTGCATAGGGCGCGAACGCGGCAAGCACGCGCGCAGGCGAAGAGAACTTTCAGCTTTTCCTCGGTCAACGGCGAGGAAGTGCTTGAGATGAACACTGCCTATGCCGTAGTCTTGGACTAGTCTCGCAGTAAAGCTAACAAAGCGCGCGTCTTCGCTTCAGACGGGGAAGACGAGCGAGCGCGCGGCCCCCGGGCAACTCGGGCGAAACCGCCCTTGCCCGAGTCGGACGCGCCGGCTGGTTTTGTCAGGGCCCTTCAGGGTTTTAAAACGCGAGTGACAGATTTGCAGTGTCAAACTTAGGCACATGCGAAGAAGACCGCGGAGGACTGCGTAGAGGGCAAAGTGGCCCTCTCACAGTACGAGGCCCGCGGCATTATAGCCAAATACAAAAAATGGCTGGAGAAGGACTTGAAGCGAAAGCTTCGAGTCAAAGTGGGCGTGCTGAAGGCTCCTCCGAAGTCGGAAGAGGCACGCAGCAGCCGCGGCTAGTTTGAAACGCGCCATAATTGAAACAGTTTGCTGCGTGTTCGGCCCTTTTTAGACTAACAATGATCTAACCTCTTGCGCGTTTGTTCAGCTGGCGTGTTTCAAACGAATCGCAATACAGACGCGGACGCGCCCTTTGGCGGACGCGCTTACAGGTTCGTCAAAGGGCGCGACACGCGTGAAGTGTCACAGCGCAGTTCAGCGAGAAAATAAAAATAACTATATCAATAATTAAACGAGTTGCAATCATTTGAAAATAAATATGACTAAAAAACGACGCGATCGCGACGATCCGTTTTCGTAGTTATCACGTATAGGCAAACGCCTCAACGCGTGGCGAATCGCGACGCGCTTGCTAGTTCAAGACCTTCGCAACGGGTTTTCGGAAATGGCTCGGTTATAGATCGAATATTGTGGAGGCGGCCATTAAGCCTCGCTTTCGTCAGCGCCTTGTCGCGCGGTCGGGTTGCGATTTGAACCTCGTCTCCGGATATCCGTCGCGACATTTACGCGCGCGGCCCGCTATGTAATACGCGACGCGTCCTAATTGTTTTTGTATGTTTGAGATTTTTGAGATATGAGTGCATAGTTGCGCGCGCGTTTGTGTGATTGACTTAGACACGCGTCGATCGCGCGCAAAAAAAAGAGAACGACGCGCGTGTGCGTGTGTATATATATATATAAAATATAAATTAACAAATGTATATATATATATATATATATATATGGTCACCCCCCCCCCCAGGGCCTACCTTTGCCTTCTTCTAGTTGAAGGTGCCAACTCTGCTACGTGTGCCTCTTTCTTGCAAATGCCTGAAAACACTGTAAAATACAGTGTTTTTGTTGGTTTTTAGGTTCTATATAACAGCAGATGTCTGGTTCTTTGAGGCTTGAAAGGCAGCAAAGCGAAAACGGATTCCGTTTTCGGATTCAAGTCTGGCTTTGTTGGAAAACACTGGTTTTTACAGCGGTTTTGAGCACGCTAGGGAAAAAAACATTGAAAACATGTCGTTTTTGGCAGCGTTGAGCTCTGTAACCTGCACAGACCCAAAAGCATAAAATCTCCTGAAAATGAAAGCTCTGAGACCTGCACATGCCAAACATCTCCAGACCAAGTTTGGTAGTCTGGGGATATGTGCCCTTTATTTGTTTAGCCACATTTAAGCTAAATCATATTTGGGAATGAGTTACTATTAAAATTTGTTTGCAAAGGCCAAGTGATTTATTTGCAGAATAAGCTATATTCCAATTCAAGTTGTATTTGGGGATGGATTTCTTGTTAAATTATTAATGTTCACAGCCAAATTAGAATTCGTCTGCATTAAAGTAATATTTGAGATTCTACCTAGCAGATGAAATTTTCCCTTATTTGGAGAGTATTCCTGCCTCAAATTCTGAGCTGATATAGACCTTATGTGGCGAATTATGAAAACTGGTGTGAACTATTGCTTACTAAATTCAGAAATCCAACAATACGCAAATTCAAATTCGATCAAATCGTAATTGGCGAAGGAATGTGTCCCATGGAACAGAATTGGATCCCAGGCACCCAATAATGATGCTATGGAGAAATCCAACAAAATAGAACATTTCGAGGAAACTGCGCAAAAGAAAGTGTATTTCCTTGTTTAACTGCGCCGCCTTCAATTTACTGTGTGAGAAAGTTGCTGACATTATCTGGATGCCGCGAACAGTTGTCGCTCAGGGGTTTGCTGCTGCCGTTTCTTTGACGTGTTTACAGACTCAGTGGCGTCTTGAGCGTTGGTTGCGACTGCGCGCGCGCAATCGCGCATACACACGCGCGCGCACAGTCAAGAAAAAAAAGGAAATAAAGAGAAAAGAGAACCAAGAAGGAAAAAGAAAGAAAGAGCGAAAGCCGCGGTAAAACAGCGTGAACGAGTTCGAAGACGAACCGATGGAGCTCGAGGAAGAAGACCTCATGGCGGCGCAAGCCACGCGCATTAAAGGCGCCGCGCAGCCAGGCGAAGCTGGGGAAGAAGAGGAAGAAGAGGCCGAGGCAGAGACGCCAGAGAACGTAACCGCCAAGGCGCAGCGAATCGCCCGCGCGGAACAGATGTCCCAGCTGTCCAAAGAAGTCTGGGGCGGGTCGGCCGCGTCCCGCGAGGGCGACCCGAACTTCGCCCAACACTACGCCAACATGGCGGCCAAGCCGGCCGTGGAAGACCACGACGAGCTAGAGGAGGCGGCCAAGGCCTCCCGTGCCAAGGGGGAGAAAAAGCCAGCAAGGGAGGTGCCAATGCAAAAGGTGACAAAGGCAGGCCAGCTCGGCCCAACCTGAACGCCAAGCAACAAGAAGTCCTGGCGCTAGTCGTGGAGCGGGCGGCCTGGCCAGCGGGAGGTCATGCTTTTCGTGACAAAAGCTTTTCTTCGGCTCGCGATTTTCAGCGCATTTGCAGCTGGAGGCTTGAGAATTTCCAGGCCCTCTTGGGCCTTTCCAGGACTTTTCCAGGCCCTCCAGACAGGATCCTGGACCAACAGGCATAGGCGAGGGTGGATTTTTTTTGGCCAACTGGTTGACAACCGGCCTGCCTGGGCTGGGCTGGCTGGGCCTTGCTTGGGTGGGTCTTCTGTTTAGGCTGGGCCTGAGGATCGCCCCTCTCACAGGACAGGATCGCCTTCCCGGGACATAGCTAAGCCTTGGAAGGCAGCCAAATGGCCAGGTCTCTAGATTTGGAGCAGAGCTGGCTAGTTTTACATGATCCTACACAAAGAATTTATCAGCGACCGGGCCAAGCCCAAATCCTGATTTTTTTAAAAAGAAAACAGAATCACCTTCCCGGGACAGAGCTGAGCCTTGGAGGGCAGCCAAATGGCCAGATCTCTAGATTTAGAGCAGTGCTGGCTAGTTCTATATGATCCCGCGCAAAGAATTTATCCGCGGCCGGGTCAAGCACGGGGCAGCGCATAGCTCGTTGGAGGCCAAGACGACGACGTTTCCGACCTCGAGTTTGCGGCGTTGATCAATTTGGGGCGAGGTCAGTTTAAGCGTTTAGAACGTTCGATGCTCCATCAATGAAATGTTTAAGCCTCAGTCTCGCCCGATTCAATGGACAGTTTAAATCTATCATCTCGAGCTTGAAACGTTGGTCTAGTCTAAATTGAGGCAAGCTTAAACTTTGTAACTCACATATCTCGATAGACGGCTTAATTGAGCATCGATCTCATGTCGCTTGACCGGTCTGTCAACACTAAGCTCGACGCACAACCTTACACCTGTGTTGGCGCATATGGCGGCAGCCACTAAAAGTTTAGGGTTTAGGGTTTAGGGTTTAGGGTTTAGGGTTTAGGGTTTAGGGTTTAGGGTTTAGGGTTTAGGGTTTAGGGTCCGCCAACACAGTGTGGTGGCGCCCTAGGCAATTGTCGAGAGCGAGTAGCGGAGACCTCAAAGCTTCGAAAGTTTTTCTATATAGGGGAATCCCTGCACTGTAATCCGAAAAGGTCGAGCTAAATCACCCCTAAACTTGATTGAGTGAGCACGTCGAGTGAGAGACCGAGCACGACGTTCTAAACAGGTCGAACGCAGTTCGACAAAACGTTCTGAGCGTGAGCGAAAAGACATAACTCGACTAAGATGCTCGACCAAACGAGCAAGAGTTATGAACCACTTCAAGCTTGATCTAGGCAAGATTGAAATTGAACTCGATCAGATCAACCAAGTTGAACAACTCGAGCGTTTAAAAGGGAGAGCGAACAAGATCATGCTCGCCTAACGAACGCGAAAGACAAGCTCGAACATCAAAAAGATGAGCTCGATCGACTTCGCGATAATTTAGATTAACATTTTAGCTTCAGATAAACCAACCTGAGCGAATGTAGACCGAACAAAACATGCTCGGAGCGCGGATATGAAAAGGCTAAGAGAAACGACCAAAATAGTCATTTTCGTTGACCAAAGGACTCGACGCGACTTAGCGAGGCCTTTAAACGCAAGCAAAAAAATGGCTCAAGCTAGATTGAGATAATTGCTCAGGCAAAGGCTTATGCAAACGCGTAGCCGAAAATCAGCAAAATTCCGAGACGTAGTCACTCTCGACAACTCAAACCGAGACCTGAGCTCACAATGTTAGGTTCGAATATTGTGCCCAGTTAGTTCTAGAAGCTTCACGGAAATGGGGAAGACCTAAGCCCCAGAACTATCGAACATCACGCGACTCGCGCCTCGCGCCAGGCAACTCGGAGCACTCCGCGCTCTTGCGCCGCGGCGGCCTCGCGCGCGCGTCTCCGACTGTCGCACGTCCGTCCGCTGCCTACCTGCGCGTGGCTTCCGCGCGCCAACGAGGCAAGACCCAATCGCGCATTTGCTTTTTGCCGCCTTCATTTAAAATCGCTCTCCAAGATCTACCCTAGCGGCAATTCGGGCAGAATCGTTTGCGGATCTGTTCTTCCGCCGAATTCTCGCTCCATTTCCTCTTGCATCTGAGACAATTACGTTCGCCCCGTTTGCGATCTGCCGCGCAGTTGGGGCAGCGTTGGTTGATGTAGACGGCAGAAGACGTGGGCAGAAAAGCCGCGCAGCCTCGGCTCTTCTCCCATCCGGCCCGGAGCCGACGAGCCTTGCCGCGCACCGCGTCCTGGCAACTTTGACACGCGGCCGCCCACGGCAGCGTCAACGCAGATAGGTGGAACTCCTTCAGCGGCTTCACCTCTGCGATTTGCGAGCAAGTCAACTCCGAGACGTTCTTCAAACACGCGATGCAATTTCGCCTTTTTTTCTGCACGAGGCTGCCGAAGTTGAGCTCGGGGAAACGCGTGCTCCACTTTCTCGAAGCCGCAGCCAATGCAGCGCAGCCGCTCAACATTGGAAGGCAGTTTGCGCTTGCAGGCGCCTCCATCCTTATGAATGCAAGTCAGACAAGTGGCAGGCAGGTTGGCTCTGGCTTTGTCCCACTGGGCGTCCGCGAAGTAGTCGAAAGGCTTAACCACTTTGCATTGTTGGCACGGCGCGCTGGGCGCGCGGGCCTCGCGGTAGTTGACCCACTCAATCTTTTCACCTCGGAGAGTCTTCAGCAGCAACTCTGGCCCCTCTGGCGCACCCCGCTGGAAGAGCCAGAGCGGGAACGGCCGCAAAATGAGGATATCTTCACGGCTCCTGCGAGCAACAGACGCGACGAATCTGAGTCGACCGCCGAGCACGCAAAAGTTTTTACTCCGCTCCCTTAAAAAAAAAAAAAGGCCTCACGCGGCTGCCGGCCACGGTTCCGAAGGTGATGTCCGTCCACCTGTCCACGTTGAAGTCGGCCATGGCCGCCGGCACGGTCTTACCCTGACTCCCGTGGGCAGTGATGGCGTAGGCCGGCACTAGCGGGATCTGAGTTCGGGAGATCCTCAGCACGGGCTTGGGCCTGCCGCCGTCCAGGAACCAGAACTTGGTTTGCCGCGTGACCGGATAGAGGCCCGGCTCGGGCGCGCCTTCGAGCTGCCACTCCGCGCCTTGAAACTTCACATAGACGTGGGTAGGCTGCCGCGCGCCAGGAGGCCAGCGCCAGGAATGCACGAACCCCGTCGCGCCGCGTAGAAGGAGCGTGTCTTCAGACCTGTCCAAGTGCTCTGTCAGCGCCACCTTCATGCCCACGGCAAGCGGTAGCATTCCACACAGGTTTGCAGTGTCCCTGTCATGGTATTGCAGCCAACGGACCCTCGCCGCCTTGTCGCAGGCCTGAGCGCCGGGCGCAATACTTCCTCGAAACTGGATTAAAGTTCTACACAAGTACGTTTATTTTAAAAAGTTTTTTTTTGCCTTCTTCCTGCCTGAGTCTTCAAGAGCGCCAAGCCCGGCCTGTCAGCGGCGGCGGCCCAACCGCAGCGGCGCGGCCCGACTCCTTCGAATAGCGCAGCGCGCGGTCTTTGTTGATCTGAAACTTGGCGTCGTTGTTCGCGACGATGACTGGCGCCTGCTTGAACTTGGCTTCCTGGAGCCGCGGGTCGCTGTGGCCCGCGACGACTCGTCGTCGAGACGCCCGTTCTTCGTCGGACAGGGCGCAGCCTTCCACCGGGAGCCCATGGAGATATTTCCAGTTGCGAGAGGTGCCCGGCTCGTAGCTCGTCCACAACTGCATTCCACCAGCCGTCCTTGCATCTCTCCCGCTCCTCCAACTCGGTGACGCCTTGGACGGCGCCGCCATAGTCCGCCAAGGGGTCCGGGGCCGTCAAGTCGTCGGGCGCTCGCGGGCGCCGATTGTAGGGGACGTCGCCCAAGTACGCCCCGCTAGGCGGAGGCAGTTGATAGAAATCCCCGGTGAAGAGCACGTTGATGCCCGCGAAGGGTCGGGAGGAGTTTGTCACGGGGTCAAGCTTCCAAGCCGCCGCGTCTGGCGCCGCGCTGCGCAGGCGCTGATCCACTTGCGCCAGGAGCCGGGCGTTCACCATGCTGACTTCGTCGATGATGAGCCAGCGCCAGAGCCCCATCCGCTTGGCCACCTCCTTGCTGACGGCGCGGTCGACGGCCTTCCAGTCGGCGCTCAAACCACAGACGTTGTGGATCGTCTTGCCCTTGATGTCCGCGGCGTTCACAGCCTGGAAGGCGGCGACCTCGTAGTCGATGCCTTGGACGTAGCCGAGCTGCTCTTCGAAGAGTTCCCTCAAGTACTTCAGGACGTGAGACTTTCCCGCGCCCGGAGGCCCGTGTAATAGCCACACCAAGGGCTCGCCGCTTTGGCGACTCGACTCGTCTCGCACTCCTCGCACAGGACGCCCGCGGCGCCGACGTGGGTCGGATCCGCGCCGCAGCGGCGGTCTTCCGGGCAGCATAGGATTTCTGCGCCGCCGGGGCCGGCAACTTCAACTTCCAGTTCGATCTCAAAGCTTTCATTGGTCGACATCCTCGCAGCTCTTTCTGAGTGTAGCTTGTCGTACTTGTCGAGAAAGGCGTTCAGGCCGAGGATCTCGACCACGCGAGGCGCTGGCTGGCCGAAGAGCCGCCACTCGCCCTCCTCCTCCCCGCCGCAGCGGCTTAGAATCCGGCGCCATTGAATTTCATTCTGCTCCTCAAGCTCGGCCACGCGGCTGTAGATGCAGGCGCAGGACGCGCAGATCAGCGCCTCGACCTGCCCCGGCAGCGAATTGGGACGACATGACTAATCGGGAAACTCGTGCTTGATCTCGTCACTCACTTAAGATTCGAACAACTCAGCGCAAGGCGGAATAGGCGGGCTCAGGACGCGAAACGGTTTCCAATTTAGATAATCTCGAAGTCGCATACCTCGCTCGATCATTCTTTTCTCCACTCGAGCCGCTTATATAGAAAGGTCGAGTCGGACGACGACGCAGGGTCTGATCCTTGACTGATCAGACCCAAAAATCACGTCTAGCCACAAAGGCCAGACGTGTTGACAGTCCAAGGCAGCTAGACGCAGCCGGCTTTGCCAGCGGGAAAGCATCTTGCGAAAACGCCGATTGCACGCGCGCTCGCTCGGACGAGTTTGCCCCACCAAGCTCACAAAGACAGAAATCTCCGCCAGCAAGGTCAGCGGCGCCTCGTAGACGCACCAGCGCCACCCCCGGCATGGGAACGTCCATCCCACGCAGCGGCGCTGCAGGTCTGCCTGCAGTAGGGCCAAGGTCAAGAGCCGCGAGCCGGCGCTCGGGCCCATGAACTCGTCCACGAAGGCCGCGACGTCTTTTCGCAACTGACTGTCGTCCTCTGCACCTTCGGTCTCGTCTTCTGTGTCGATCATATCCGCCCACCGACGGCGCGCGGCAGCCATGGCTAGCTCTGCGGCGTCGGCCCCGGCCCCAGGTCATCGAGGCTACACGCGTGGGTCGCAAACCGAGCATAGGCGTCGCTTTCTTTTTTGCGACATGAAACTGACACGCCCGCCTTTGACTAGCGAGCTGCTCTCTCCCTAGGCGCGCCCTTTTTTTTTCCCCTCGCGCCTTGTCCAGGCTCATATCTTAAAACTGGCCTGCGTCTACGACGCGCGACGGGGCTCAGCCCGACGCTGTGGCCGCGCGCAGGCGAATCTACGTGGAGACGATCTCGCTCAGGTCTTCTACCGCGCGGCTGCGGCGCAGCGTCTCCCCTCCCATAGATTCCATCGGCAGCGTTTCCTCTTCGTCTTCTGGCCCTATCGATCGCTCCGGGAGAGGCGGGGCCTGAGCTGGGGTCTCACTCACGGCAGGCTTCTTCGTCTTGCGCGTCGACTTGGCGGGCGCGGAGCGCTTGGTCGCCGCCGGCTTGGCCCGCGCGTCTTCGGGACCTCGCCGGAAGACATTGAACCCGATCGCCGTCGAAGGCCGCCAGTAGGGTACGGGCTACGGCAGCCGGAAAACCCCAGTCAGGGTCATACCACATAATCGGTCTCCGTAGGGCGCCGGGTTCTGGGCCGGCCAGCGGTGCTGCTCCCTCGTCGCCTCGAATTCTTCTTGAGACAGTTTGCGGGCAGCCGAAATAGTGACGCCGCCCCAGACTTGGCCGGTCGCCCCGAGCCAGGCGAAACCATGCCGGACTCGACAGCTGCGTAGTTCCATTGTCTTTTTGCCGCCCAAGACGTCGTCCAACCAAGGCTGGCGCAGGACGAGGATCCGATCGCCGATCGCAGGCTCCCGCGTCGCAGTCGCGGCCCGCGCTCCGCCTGGCAGTCACCCGAGACTCCAACACGCAAGCCCCGATAAAAGGCGTCGTTTAGACGCACGCGCGCGCGTGCGTTCCCTTCCATGGCCTGGCGGCGCCCCGCCCTCAGGACCAGGCCCGTGCCTGTTCCGTCCATCGCAGGCGCGATTGGCCTTGGGCGAGAACACAAGCGCTCGCGCGCTCTCTGTAACACGTTAAACTAAGCGCTTTCGAGCCCGAGCCCTTTTTTTCCCACCATTTTCTGCTCGCGAGGTAAATTGCGAACAACCCCGAGTCTGCGCCCGTTAGGCCCTTTGCCGCCCACGCCAGCCTGTCTCACGCGATTCAATGCTCGCGTCCCGGCGGGCAGTCTGCGCAAGGCCCAAATCGACTCTAACCCTAAGCCTAACACTTGAAAGTCTCACTTCTCTTCCTCGCGCTCTCCCACGAACACGGACTTGCGCTGCGAGATCCACTCGGTCATGGCGTCCGTCGGGTCTGCCACTGCGTCGACGCAGTATATCGGAAGACTGCGCAGCACTTCCTCCAACACGCGCGTCACCTTCTCTCGCCCCTCTGCCGAGTCCTCGACCTCTAGGATCCTCACATACTCCTGCTTGTCCCCTTCCTTCACGGCCGGGGCGAGGGCGCCTGGGACCCCAGCCTCGTCGAACCTTTCGCGGAACACGAAGATTCCGCCGAAGAAGACGAAGTTATAGACGGCCTTTTCCGCGTCTTCCCCCACTTCCTTGCGCTCCATCTGGCACAACACGTGCCGCCTGCCCTTCGGCGGCACAACCCCGAAGGGCGGAGGCAACGGCAGCTTTGGAGGCGCCTCCCACGTCTCCCAGGGATTCGGCAACTCGCCAAGCTCGGCCTCGGGCTCAGCCAACGCCACCAGTCGAGGTAGGAAGGTCAGGCGCCCCTTTCTTTGCTTGTGCTCCAAGATGAAGCGAACAAAGCTCAAAGCGCTTTCCGGGCTTTGGCCCGCGCAATAGAGGACCGTTTGCCACTCTCGCATGCCGACCTCGTCCACATCGAATTTGCCAGATGGAGGCGGGCCGCCCAGAGACAGTCTCACCCGCAGGACTCGCTCCAGTGACTCCATATCCCTCACGTTCTCGTTCGGGTGTTGTGACAAGGCCTCTCGCGCAGTCAGGGGCGCCTGGGCGCTGAACGCATCTCTATGCGCTCCGTTGATCTGGACCTGCCACAGCGGGGTCTCCACCTCTTCTCCCTCGAAGACCCAGAAAGAGCTTCCCCAAGGTCGCGCTATGGCCACCAGCGCGTCGGGAAGCGCCTTCCCCAGCGGCTCTTCTCGGGCCTTCTTGCTCCCGCCTGCTTGGACCAAATCCTTTGCTTGAAAGCGGCGCTTGCCTGGCATCGCGCTACGGGAATAACAGAGCAGACCTGGTCGAGATCGGCTGTTCCTCGAGCCAAAAAGAACAGGCAGCGTTATCGCGATAAGCTTCGTGACAAGCTTCATTCTCTTGTCCCACGCGGCCGGTCTGAGGCCACGACAAGGCAGGCGTTCCCATCTGGCCAACTTGATCTGGCGGGGCCGATCGGCGTCTCTGTAACAATTTCCAACTTCCGCCGCGCCACGCCCGCGCGCCTGCGCGTAATCACTGGGATTCCCCTCGCTCTCGCCCGCTTCGGGAGCCAACTCGTAAATGCTTGAGATATCGAAGCGGCTACAACGCAAGACGATCGCAAACTCACGCAGACAAACAAGGCCCTTCCAGCGTCAATAGACTTGCCGTTCTAGATTTCTTGCCCCTTCTCAAACCCAGCATCTATCACAACTCAGCTCTAATCTAAGTCACCTAAACTCGGCGTTGCGTCAACTTGCTCCTCCGAGGCACTTTTTTTTTCTCGCTTCTTTGTGTCGTCGTCGAGTCGCTCCGGCATCAAACCCCGTCTATCTCGGCCCATCCTTAGGACCGCGCGACCCGAACTGCGGCCGACGCGCTCCATTATCTGAGGGCGGCGCGGCCCACTTCTACCACAAGCGACGAGACGGACCTGTTCTCGCTGTCCGACTCGTCTCCATCTTCAATGGAAGCCTCGAGCATTTCGAGAACGAGGATTGCCAAATCAGAGCTGAGGTCGCGGCTGCGTCCTCCATCTCCGCCGCGTATCTCGGCGACTCTTCCAGCAAGTCGACCTGCAGAGTTCAAGACTCTCGGCCTACGCGAGTCGATCCTTCCTATGCCCGCCTCCCCCGCGTAGCACACTGTGAAACCCCGCTCGCGCAAACAGGATTCGCCTGACACGGTCGGTCGCGTGAAAAGAAAGCCGCGCGATCGGCTTCCAATTTCTTAGCGCGGGGCAAAGGAGCGAGTTCTGTTCCGAGTCCCCCGTGTACTCGGGGTCCACTCCCAGAGGAACGCCAAGTTTCCTGCAAGCCTGGGTGAAACGATTTCGAGCATATATCTACACAAACGATGCCCGAGGCCGGGGCGCAGCACGCGAAAATCCCCTCATCTTCAACAAGGGCCACCGCCATTGGGCCAAACGAGCTGGGAATAGGGGGGGAGGGAGGCCGCAAACCGCAATCTACACTGAGAGGCAGTGGCCGGCGCCAAAGCACACTGAAGCAAAGCTGACTGCGTCAGATTATCGCAACCCTTTTCTAACTTCAAGCCCTTTGCCTTTTTTCCATCTTTGGGCATTATTCTATTTCTCTGTCAGAGAAACTCTAACATCATGCTCGTGCCCGTCTCTGACGGATTTGGCCCCGCGTGTCGCAAAAAGGGTTCCTGTCGTCGAGCGAGAGAAGATTAGGCGCGACAACTCGGATGTTATCAGAAACGCAGTTGAATCTCAAACGCGAGAATATCGATAAGTCTGTCCTGGAAGCGCTCGCTCCCACATCGCGCAGGCAGTGGACACCTCGATCGAGAACGCATGTGGCCCCACGCATCGCAAAAAGGGCTCCTGTCGTCAAGCGAGAGAACATTAGGCGCGGCAGCTCGGTCATTGTTAGGGACCCATTGGAATCTCAAACACAAGAATATCAATAACTCTGTCCTGGAAGCGCTCGCTCCCGCGTCGCGTAGGCAGTAGAGCGGACGCCTCGACCACGAGCGCGTCGTTGGCTCGCCTCCATTCCTTACCAGGCGCAAATGGCAGACCCCGTACGCACGCATATGCACACATATACACATATGAAACTTCCTTAGGTGATACTGCCAACAGCGGCAAGTTTAGTCTCGCCATCTTTTTTAAAAAAATAGAATATCAAATCGCTGCGTACCACACGCGACAGCGATCTTTCCCTCGTGGAATACGGGGCATCATTTAGTTCAACCCAACAATGAAGGAAAATTAAATACTTCGCTCGACATATCATTTAACAAATAACGGCGAAGAAGAACAGAAAAATGTTAAACTGAAAACCCTCCAAGTTGCTCTCAATAGCACCCCCTGGACAGCCAAACAACCCCAATCTTTGTCGCGCGGCGAACGCTGAGACCCGCGGCGCAGGCCCGCCCTCCAGGAAGCAGCCCAGATCGGCTCCCAGTCTCGTCGACTCACTGCGCGCGCTCGTTGCCAGGAGCGGGCTCCACGACGCAGCGGCGGCGTAGTGCGTCCATGAGCCGTCGGCCGATGGGAGAGGTTAAGAAGCTCAACGCAGGGCCTCGCGTCTACAAAGTGTCGCAAAGAGCTCCTTGTCCCGCACTCGCGGGACTTTCCTCAAATCATACCGCGACCCTCCTCCTTCGGATCCTCCAGTCGCTTCTAGGGGTGCCCCGTTTCGGCACTCAGCTTTCTTCTTCCGAAGCGCCCGGTCGCTCATATGATATAGGGCGCTCCGTTTCGGCGGTCAACATTCTTCTTCCGGAGATTCCGGTCGCTTCTATCGCACAGGGCTACCTTTTTTTCGGCAGTCGACGGCGCTTCCGGCCGCCTCCACTATACAAGGCGCCCCGTTTCGGCAGTCAACCTTCTTCTTCTGGAGCTTCCGGTCGCTCCTATTCGGCAGTCAACCTTCTTTTTCCGGAGCGTCCGATCGCTCCTATTATATAAGGCGCCCCGTTTCGGCAGTCAACCTTCTTCTTCCGGAACGTCCGGTCGCTCCTACTATACAGGGCGCCCCGCTTCGGCATTCAACCTTCTTCTTCCGGAGCGCCCGGTCGCTCCTATTACCCC